GAGTAGAGAGAGAAGAGAGGTCCAACGTCTAATACATTCCTGATCCCCTTTTCCTGAAAAATATGGAAGGATCAGAGCTCTCACCCTCCACCAGATTCTACAAGGCTGGGGCCGGAGCCCATCTGCATCTCTGGATGCCCAGATCAGTCCTTGCCATTGTGAGGCTAAGTAGCCTTACCTGAAATGGATGCCGTGTAACAGGACAATGACAACACAGGGACATGAGATTAAATACAGAAAATAAAGCATTGCAGACAACAAGTGACCCCAGAGGGAGGGGTCTGGAAGGCCTGGAGCAGGCAGGTGATGCCTTCCAGAGAGGTGTGTGGGCCTGGAGCTCATCCTGGGAGAATGGGAGAAGGGAGGATGACAGTCTTCGAGGAAGCAGAAAGACAAGCACAGCCTTGAAAGGCAGGGATAACAGGGATAAGTGTGTGGGCTGCTCACAGTGTCCTGCCACATCACACGCCTGCAGAGTTTGCCCTAAGAATGCACCCTCCCAGATGAGATCTCACCTCTGGAAGCTCCCAAGAACTGTCCCCCCAGGCAGCGATGGTGGGCGTCCCCAGTGTGGTGCAGGCAGAGACAGGCAGGGCCCCAGGCTCCTTGCCCTTCAGTGCCACACGGCTAGTGTTCATTATTCTCAGTCCTCCCTAGCCTGCCTCCTGAGGAGAGCATTTTCCAGGACAGGTTTCAGAGACAGAAGGACAAGGCCCCTGGGAGGGAGACAGTGGCTCCAGATGCTGGCCTTGATGGAAAGCCTGGGAGTCCCAGATGGGCCATCTCTTCAAGGAATGGTTACTCCTGGGGACTCCAGGGCCTAGAGCACATCGGCTTAAAGGTGGGTCTCTGTGGCATTGCCATGTCCTTCGTATTTGGCAAAGTGTCTGTCTTAGTTAAAAATGGAACACACACCGGCTGTTTCCTAAGCAGACCCTGCAGCTTCTCCTGCCCCGACTCCTCGGATGAGCGAGAAGCCACCGGAGTCGGTGTGCTGTGGGGACCTTCCATTCGATTAGGAACCTCCGGTAGTGGGTTCCCAGGTTGTGGCAGTGACTTACTGCCTCATACTGTAAGAGGACTGCGCTTTCTCCTTCACTGACTTCAGGCTTGACCTTGACAATGAACGGAGCAGGAGCCGCATGTGCACCTTCTGGAGCAGAGGCTCCGCGAGCCACCCAGTGCTTTCCTCTAGTGGACTGGGCTCCTGCAGCCTGGTGCCCAAGCAATGTTGACTATCATTGGTGTATAGATGAGCGAGAAATGCTTTTGTGGTTACAGCATGCAGTGATTTGGGAGTTTTGCTATGGCAGTGTGAGCCAGAAAAGAGCTGACTAGTACAACCGCGTGCACCCGGCGGTTTGCCCAGACGAGGCTGGTGAGGGTGCATTCTGGAAAAGTCTGCAGCTGTGCGTCATCTCCTTCACAGACTCAGATCCCTGCTTCCCAAGAAAGGCGCGCTGAGGCCCGACACAAAGTCAGGGAGATTCAAGGACCAGGCAAGCCTTTCTTAGCGCCCAGAGCAGCACAGAGGGTGGGGCTTGTAACCGGCTGTGGCTGCTGCAAGAGGAAACATCTTTATCCCTCCCAGCTCCTGCTTCCTCTCCACACACATGCACACACCACCCCACACACCACACACATACACCACATGTACACACACACATACCCACACACCCCCACACCCACACATGCACACACCACCCCACACACCACACACACACACCACATGTACACACACATACCCACACACTCCCACACCCACACATGCACACACCACCCCACACACCACACAAACACACCACATGTACACACACCACACCCCCACACATGCAGCCACACCACCCCACACACCACATACACACACCACATGTACACACACACACCCACACCCCTCACACATGCACACACACCACCCCACACACCACATACACACACACCACACACACACCACATGTACACACATACCCACACCCCCACACATGCACACACCACCCCACACACCACATACACACACCACATGTACACACACACACACCCACACCCCCACATGCACACACTACCCTACACACCATATACACACACCACACACATACTCATATACATACACATACCCATAATTCCCCACACATGCACACACCACCCTACACCACATACACACACCACATGTACACACACCCACACCCCCACACATGCACACACACACACCCACACACCACATACACACACCACACACACACACCACATGTACACACACATACCCACACCCCCACACATGCACACACCACCCCACACACCACACACCACATGTACACACACATACCCACACCCCCACACATGCATACACCACCCCACACACCACATACACACACCACATGTACACACACACACCCACACCCCACAACCACACATGCACACACACATACCCACACACTCCCCACACCCACACATGCACACACCACCCCACACACCACACACACACACCACATGTACACACACACACCTACACACTCCCACACCCACACACTCCCACACCTACACATGCACACACACCCACTCCTACGGGACTACACACACACACACACCACATGTACACACACACCACATGTACACACACACCCACACCCCCACAACCACACATTCACACACCCACCACACACTCCACACGCATACACCAAATGTACACACACACCCCCACACACCCCCACAACCACACATTCACACACCACCCCACACACCACACGCATACACCAAATGTACACACACACACCCCACACACCCCCACAACCACACATTCACACACCACCCCACACACCACACGCATACACCAAATGTACACACACACACACCACACACCCCCACAACCACACATTCACACACATACACACACTACACACACCACCTCTACACATCACAATGCACAGACACACACACACACCACACCACACACAGCACACCCCCACACATGCACATATAGACACGCACTACACACACCACCCCACACACCACACACATACATCACTGCAAAGATGGACACACACACACACACCACACACACTCCCACCCCACACATGCACACATATACTACACACACCACTACACACCACACACACACCATGCATGGACACACACACCATACACACCACACATCCACACATGCACACACATACACACACTACATACACCACCCCACACACCACATACACACCAAATGTACACACACACACCCCACACACCCCACACCACACATGCACACACACACACCACACACACCACCCCACACCACACACACAACGCATGGACACACACACACCCCACAGACACGATGCCCCCCACATGTGCACACACATCGTATACACACACTACACACACCACCCCACACAATTCACACACATACACCACGCATGGACACACACACACACCACACACACTCCCACCCCCACATATAAATTCATATACATACAATTACACACACCACCCCACACACCATACACACCACATGTACACACATACACACATTACACACATCTTACACACACCACTCATCACACACACCACACACACTACACACATCCTACCCCACATACCGTACATATGCACTGCATGTACACATCCTCACACCACACACATGCACATACATGCACCACCTGTGCACACACCACACATGCAAACATACACACCACGCACCTCTAATTCTATTATATCACACACGTACATCACATGTGTACACACATACACATCATACATATCCTACACATACCACACACCACTCACCACACACACTACACACACACCAACTCCCACACATGCACACATACACACACTACACACACGACCCCAAACACCACACACACATATACACACGCACTACACACATCTCACACACACCACTCGCACCACATACACTACACATACATACTACACACACACCATCCCACACACCATGCACATACATCATATGTACCTACATACACACATAAAGTACACATACTACACACACTACACACACCCGCCACACACTACACACACATATCCCACATACCACAATAATATATACACACACGTACACACACAGAAATATGAGGGACTTCAATGCAGCAAAAATGAACAAGCAGGAAATACATTTACTGAAACACCAAAGTAAGAGGAGACGTTTGATAACAGAATGCCAGGGTTTTAGAGTTTCCTAGTTCCAGGAATCTAAGTCCCTGGATGAGGCATTCTGAGGCTGTGCTTGCATTTATAAATCCTCCACAGCCATTCTGTGTATATTGGGCACACTTCTGCCAGGTTCTGGAGTTAGCTCTGATATATTGAAACTGTTATATGTGGTCATCTTAAATAAAAAGAGCCACACAGGTCAAAAGCAAGGCTTATAGATGGTCCACCAAGCCTGCGTGGGTACCAGGTCTGGTGGAAACAGTCAGGCACTTTGACCAAGACAAGGACTCTGGGTTTTCTAAGTTAGAGTAAGACTAAGGGGTTAAGAGGTCAGAGGCTCTGGAGGTTGCACCCAGCCTATCTGTACCACCAAGGATCAGAGATAGACCAGCGGGCATTGTGGGTGTGTCCTTTACTCCTCGGGTGCAGTCTCACAGGCCCTACTCTTAGAAGGGTCCACGTTCAATGCTTGGCTGTCACCATCTTGAAATTCTTAATAATTTTGGAACCCTACGTTTCATTTTACACTGGGCTCTGCAAATAGCTGGTCTCATCCAGTGAATGCTGAGCCATACCTCTGGGCGGTTTCATGCTGGCCAAGAAAACTGGCCATTCAATAGAGGAGGACTCTGCCCAGAAAATCCAGATGGCAGTTGGCTCCAGCCGCACTGGTCCTGGGCCATGCTGTGATTTGGAGAAGGGCAGGCCTGTCAGCTGTGGGTAGTGGGAGGGACGCGTTGTCTTTACTGGGAACAGAAAGGGGAACAGCAAATGCAAACATATTTTATTAGGAAGAACTTTTAAGCAAGTTCTCAAAACTGTTTCACCTAACCACATAGCTCGTGGCTCCCAGTTTCCTCCCATCCTGGCACCAGCTCTTGAGAACCAAACCCAGAAGAGGGGCCGAGAAGGAAACGAAGAGGCTGGAGAAGGAAACGAAGTGTCCAGAACAGCAGAAGAGGGGACAGACGAGCTGACCTTCTGCGACTGGGCTCCAGCCTCAGACCCTGCTGCCACAAGGACGTCCATGATGGTGAGATGACCCGAGGCCAGGCGCCACGCCAGGCCATGTTCTCTCGTGTCCTAGGAGCAGGCAGATCCTAAGCAAACTGCTCACAACCAAGTGAAGCGGTGGCATGGTAAAAGACGTAAAGGCAAGAGGTAAATGAATGTAAAAGAGAGAAGTAATGATAAGCTTCTTCAAATCTTCTCATCGGGATAGGTGGGATTAAACGGTAAACTGCTTCCCACACACAGTAAGCTATAGATTTGGCAACTTTAATCATTATTACCATCATTATTAAGACTAGGAATGCCTCCAATGATCCATCAGAGAGAAGGGAATAGGGGCAGAAAACCAGTACTTACTAGTCTAATCACTCGTAATACATGTCTTGCTCTGCTACGAATTTAATTCTCATTGCAGTCCTGATGAAAACAAGAGACTGAGGCTCGCTTATAGAGGTGAAAATAATTTAGATTAAACAGTTTATAAAAGGCACAGTCAAGGTCCAAACCTACATACTTTTATTTCCAAGATCATTGTTCCTTCTATAATTCAATGTCAGTTTCTGTTGCACTTGTAAAGCTTCACTTACCTATCTGAGGCACTGCTGCATCCCCAAGGTGGGAACCCTGGGTGTCCCTACACAGGTCTGGGCTGGCCCCAGGACTGCTACGTAATGGCCCCCAGAAGGGTGAGACAGCTGGGAACTTGTGGTCAGCCCTGGTCCGAGAATTTGGGGAATGATGGTGGGAGGGAGAAAGTGAGTTTCTTGGCAAGGCTGGGTAGGCGGAGAGCTTGCTGGGTGGCAGCAAATGGGGTGGAGGTGGAGGGGCTGCCCATGTTGGCTCAGGGTCAGGGTCTGACTGGAATATCCAAAGGGAGGGAGGCTCTGTGGTGATTCAGTGTGTGCCCCAAGGTGCTTTTCTCCTCCCAGATCTGAGGAATTAGTCCCAAATCATCGAGAGAGAAATTTAAGGACCTGAAAGAGCAGGCTGACAGCGCCCCCAGAGCCTGAGCTGAGAGCAAGCAGCAACAGCAGGAGGACAGGGGGTGCCTGACTCCCTTCCTTGCCCCCTTAAGCCTGTGCCTAGGAGGCAGTTAGCTCCTGGGAAAGGCTCCGATCTCAACACTGGACATTTGGGGCTGCGTTATTCTGTGTAAGAAATGTCCTGTGCATTGTAGGATGTTTAGCAGCATCCCTGGCCTCTACCCACCAGATGCCAGCAGCAATTTCACTCAAGTTGGGAGCAACCAAAATATCTGTAGTCATTGCCAAATGTTCCCTCTGCCCTCCAACCCAGGTGAGAATCACTGCTTCAGAGGAGGCAGACAGTCAATGCAGAATAGGTCAGTGGGCCAATGGAGCCTGCTTTCTGGGAATATATAGAAAATGTAGACAAGAAAATGAAGATGCAAAAAGATACAGTTTTTCTGCTTTTCTCCTTCCTTCCTTCCTTCCTTCCTTCCTTCCTTCCTTTCCTTCCTTCCTTCCTTCCTTCCTTCCTTCTTTCCTTCCTTCTTTCCTTCTTTTCTTTTCTTTTCTTTTCTTTTCTTTTTTGGATAGTCTCACTCTGTCGCCCAGGCTGGAGTGCACTGGTGCAATCTTGGCTCACTGCAACCTCCACCTCCTTGGTTCAAGTGACTCTCCTGCCTCCGCCTCCTGAGTAGCTGATTACAGGCACCACCACCACATCCACAATTTGTTTGTCTTTTCTGTGAGACAGGGTTTCATCTGTTGGTCAGGCTGGTCTCAAACCCTGACTCAGGTGATCCACCTGCCTCGGCCTCCCAAAGTGCTGGGATTATAGGTGTGTGTCACCACTCTCACAGATTTTTTCTTTTAATTCACAATAAAATATAGCAAAGCCTCGCTGTCACTGGATGGCAATACATTACCTAGATGGATGGGTGGATAGATGAAAGATGGATGGATGGATGGGATAGGATAGATGATAGGCAGACAGATTACATCCACAATTCCTTTTCAGGAGCTCGGTGTTTTGCCAAACTATTTCTCAATAGCTGTTTTGCCCTGGGCCAACCACCTACCTCCCATCAAGAGCAGATGAGACAGCAGCTGTTTGGGACTGGTGGAGGCTCCCTGAGGCAGGAAACAGAGAGTTTCAGCTGGGTCCTAATCATTTGACCCAGAGCCTGCAGAGTGGGCAGAGGAATGGGAGAGAGGGCCTGGAAGAGGGGGAGTAATGCTGTAACATTGGAGTGGGCAGAGGATCTGGAGAAGAGGCTCAGGACATGCCAAGGTGGGTGGGTGTTGCAGAGAAGTGGGGATGGAAGGAAGCTCTGAATGGTGTCAGCATGGAGCTGAGCTCTACAGATGTCAGGCAATGGCTAGTGTCGCCACAGGATTCTGTCCCGGGGGAAAAATCCAGGTGTAAATGTCCTTGAATCACAAGAACAACCCCTTTCTACATGGCTCCTTGATATCCCCACGGGCAGCCCCCATATTCTTTGTGATCCAGACCTGAAACAGAGGTCTCATCTATATGGGCAGGGATCAGCATGAGGCCCACAGATGACGGGGGAAGGAGACAGAGCCAGCCCCCAGGCTTCCTCTTGCCCTCCGTACTGGGCTGTTTCTGCTCTTTTCCTGGTTCTCAATATTATTTCCTTTCCTATTTCATCCATCCATCCATCCATCTGTCCATCCATCCATCCATCCATCCATCCATCCATCCATCCGTCCGTCCGTCCATCCGTCCATCCATCCATCCATTCATCTCTCCATCCATCCACCCATCCATCCATCCATCTCTCCAACCATCCATTTATTCAGAGTGTACTTAGTGGCTTCTATCTAATCTTTTGGTGTTCAATGAAGACAGGTGTTTCTTCTCAGACTGACACTTCTGGGAGACCCAGAACCTGCCTGTTACATCGAAGCCGCTTCTCCCCTCTGCTGATGGCTGAGCCCACCCAGGCTGGGCATGGCTCTGGAGTTCAGCATCCTACACCAGGCATCTCTCAGGTGTCCCCTGCAAATAGCCCATAGCTCCTTGGTTCCTGACTGCTCCCTCCTCCAGCCTCAGGCGACACTGGTGTGCAGGACCTAACACTCAAGGTTCCTGTTGGTCCAGGCTCTTCCAGGTGAAGAAGGGGAAACGGACTTGTGTTTTCCAGGCTGTCTGACTGTGAGTGGCCCCAGCACCGGTGGATGGGCACCGTGGGGGAGTCCCTGAGCGTTCAGTGCAGTATGAAGAGAAATACAAGACATTTAACAAATACTGGTGCAGACAACCATGCTTGCCAATTTGGCATGAAATGGTGGAGATCAGAGGGTCTGAGGGAATGGGTGAGGGAGGACGAGTGGTCATCACAGACCATCCTGAGGACTCCCACCACCGTGACATTGGGAGAACCTCACGGCAGACGATGCAGGAAAATACCGATGTGGGATTGCAACAATACTGCAGGAAGATGGCCTGTCTGGCTTCCTGCCTGATCCCTTCTTCCAGGTTCAAGTGCTGGTCTCCTTGGGTAAGAGCCCCTTTTCAGACGCCTGAGGCCATCACTGCAGAGCAGCCACGGAAATTTTGGCTCAGGAGAGAAGAACTGGGCCTCATGTGGGGCTCTAGTGTGGTGCATCAGAGCATATGAGAGTGTGTTGTGAATGTGTGTGGGAAATACGTGAGTGGGAGTGAGAGGTAAGGTTGGGCGTGAATGTGAGTTGTGTGTAAAACATGTAAGAGTGAGTGCAGGTGTGAAGGTATGTGTGAGAGCAGGTGTGTGTGGAGTGTGTGCAAGAGCAGGTGTGTGTGTGTGAGTGTGTGCGAGAGCAGGTGTGTGTGTGTGAGAGTGTGTGAGAGCAGGTGTGTGTGTGTGAGTGTGAGCAGGTGTGTGTGCAAGAGCAGGTGTGTGTGAGAGCAGGTGTGTGAGTGTGTGTGACAGCAGGTGTGTGTGTGTGAGAGTGTGTGCAAGACCAGGTGGCAGGTGGGTGCAGAGCAGGTGTGTGAGTGTGTGAGAGTGTGTGTGAGAGCAGGTGTGTGTGTGTTGTGTGAGAGAGAGTAGATGTGTGTGTGTGTGCAAGAGCAGGTGTGTGAGTGTGTGGGAGTGTGTAAGAGCAGGTGTATGTGAGAGTGTGTGTGTGCAGGAGTAGGTGTGTGAGTGTGTGAGAGCAAGTGTGTGTGAGAGTGTGAGAGCAGGTGTGTGTGTGAGTGAGAGTGTGTGTGACAGCAGGTGTGTGGGAATGTGTGTGAGAGCAGATCTTTGTGAGTGTGTGGAGTGTGTGAGAGAGCAGGTGTGAGTGAGTGTGTGAGAGTGTGTGAGAGAGCAGGTGTGTGGAGTGTGCGAGAGCAGGTGTATGAGTGAGTGTGTGAGAGTGTGTGAGAGCAGGTGAGTTGCGTGAGTGCACATGTGAGAGTGTGTGCAGGTGTGAGAGTGTGTGTGTGAGAGACAGTGTGTGCTGGAGGGTAGTGGCGGTGTGTGGATACACTGGCAAGGATGAGGGGTTTTGGAACCTAAGCCCAGCTGACCTTTCAGCACGCGCTGGATTTTCAATGAGATGGGGGACACCAACATGGGAGAAGGTGGTCATCCTCTGGTCTGAGCTATAAAATGCCCACCTGGCCCCCAGAGCGGGACAAGTACATCCATTGGGACAGGGCTGAGGGGGATGCTCTATGACTCTAGCCGGGCTTTGGTCTGCCTATGGGGAGATGATGGTCCTAGAACATCTGTCCAGCTGCCTCCTTGAGTGTCCTATGCTTTATGAAGTCAGAACCATGCAGGCGGCAGGTACTCAGCTGCGAAGATTCAGGCATATCTGTTCTTTATCCTCAGCCTCCAGTACTGAGAACTCTGTGAAGACACCTGGATCTCCCACCAGGCCCAGCCAATGCGAAGGTAAATGCACTGTGTCCCAGTGTCTTTGCCATGTGTGTAGCTTCTTCGTAGGTGGAGCTTCCTAGACACAGGTTTCGATTATTCACCCACTCAACAGGTATTTATTTGTTATGTATGAAACTGGGTGAGACTGGAGATGCAGCAGGAACAAAGGGCAAGATTGTGCTCTTGAGGAAATTGCAAATAGGTAGATTCAGACAGTGGCCAGATGGATAAATAGACAGATAGCAGACGGACGGATGACGGATAGATAGATAGATAGATAGATAGATAGAGATAGATAGATAGACAGATGGATGGATGGATGGATGGATGGATGGATGGATAGAGAGATAGATAGATAGATAGATAGATAGATAGATAGATAGATAGGCAGATGATAGAGATAGAGATATGATATGGCATGAGGTAGATGGCTGACTGGTCATTGAATAGACAGATGGAGATGATCGCTGGTAGAAAGGAGATATGTAATAGAGACAGATGATAGATGATAGATCAAGGAAATATGTCAACTAATGATAATAACTATGGAGGAAAATAAAGCAGATGGGAAGATAGGATGCCAGGGTGTATGGGAAGTCAGGCATGATTTGGGCTATCAAGGAAATACAAGATGTTCCACAGAAACGAAGAACAAAGGGACTGTCTTATTTGGGTTTCAAATCAGGTCCTGAGACAGGGACTTGTGGAGCAATTTGTTTATTGGAGAGGTAATCTCAGGAAGTACATTGAGAGAGCAGAAAATGAGACCAGAAAGGGAAAGGAAATGAAATGCACTGTAATGAAGGGGTTAACACTGTAGTAACTGGACACACTGGAGCTTAGTCCTCTGAACTGTATGAGAGACTGTGTAGAAAGTTCCCCAGAACTGGAGACAGAATCTTCCAGGCAGAAGGCACTCTGGGGGCATGAATTCTGTGGCCCATCTGGCCTGCTCTGCACAGGAAAATGTGTGCACTCCTGTAGATAACCTCAGGCAGAGAAGGGGAGCCTGAACTGGGCACCTTGTGGGCTAAGATCGGCCTGCAGCCCCAGGAGCTCAAGTGGGCAAAGGGATATGGGGGCAGGGCGCCAACAGAGTTTATTACAGGGGTCGTCTTAGAGAGGATCGGGAGGGCATCAGACAGCTCTACAGGTGGAGGGCTGGGAAGGGAGAGATGGCACAACGTCTCGTTTTGGGGAGAAAATGCAGCATTTGAGAAGTTGGAATGGGGCAGTGTAAAGGGGACCCAAGGGATGGGAGGATTGGCTATGGGCTGAGCTTGGAGAGGCTACCTCTTGGGGTTGAGATAGTTAAGCAGTTTAAGGAAGATTGCTCTGTGATCATATTTAATTTTGGAGGAAGGTGGTTGTAAAGCAATATTTCATCCTGAGGTTGTTCCCAGCAAGAGCAGAGTTTCTGACACGTGACTGAGGGATCTGTTCTGAAGTTGTTTCTGGGAGCCAGTTCCCTGCCTAGGTTCTATATCTCTCTTCTTCTCTATCCCTCACCTTCCAGCATCTGTTGGGTCCTGACACTCAAGGTTAATTCTGAGCTGAATGAAGGTCAGGAGCCTGTGACCCCCAGCATGGAGCGCTGCCTGGACCTCGGTACCCACCAGGCTTGATACATTGGGTTTGGAGGGCACAGGACCAGATCGCCGAGGGAAGGAGGTGAGGCAGAGCCTGGGACTCCCCAGAGGCAGCTTACTACTGGTCACTTCTCCATCTCACAGGTCTCTGCCCAGCTGCGCCTACTCTGCTTCTCCCACTCCCAAAGGTGCCTCTTGCTCCTGAGCATACTCGGTGCTATCCTCTGGGTGAACATACCTTGGAGGACTCCTTAGACAGAGTCCATGAACAGGAGAACTTGCCACACCCCACGCCCACTGGAACCCTGTCCAGAGACAGCCCTCTGACTGCAAAAAGGACTTGACCCTGACTCCTATCGCTGGATACTTTTTAAAAGTTAAAAAAATAGGCCGGGTGCGGTGGCTTACACCTGTAATCCCGGCACTTTGGGAGGACACTTAACATGAGATCGACGTGATCTCTTAACAAATTTTAAGTGTACAATACAGCGTTGTTGACTACAGGGACGGTGCTGTATGGTGAAATTCCCAAAAGTTATCCATCCGGTGCTTGAAACTTTGAGACTATTGGCTTAAGACGCCACTTTAGGTTTCTTCAGAGACTTTTGAATAATTTTACTTCCAATTGGATTGCTTCTCAGCTTCTGGGTCCCTCCTATCCTGAAATATCTTGATCCTGCCGCCACACCAATGAGGACTAGTTCCATTGTTTCCTGATGACCTCTCCAGGCTGAGTCCTCTAACCTGGTCTATAGCCCAGCCCCATTCTGGTCATTAGCCAGAGCTATCTGAGTAGGGATCACCACATTGCCCTTGGAGCCAACCAGATGTGGATGCAGACATTCACAAGGAACTAGCCCAAGGTGCAACTGGGTGTGAGACTCTGTGGGGAGTCTGAGCAGAGCAAGTTCTCATCCCTAAAGGCAAGTGCCCAGGTCAGGGGGTGGAATCCAGGCAGGGAGAAAGGGAGGGACACATTGGATCCCGGGTCCATGGCTTCTGCTGTGTTGAGAAGCAGTACACACACTGCACGTTGAACTCTTAGTTTTGGGAGAGAAAGAGACACCCAGTGTCCCTGCTGAACGTGTTCACCTAGGCTGGAACTTGGTTTGGTGACAATCTTCAATGCTTCTTATTTGTGAATAAGGAAGCAGTCTTTGAAGCACTAACTATAATCAGTGCCCCGAAAGGTCTGAGGGAAGGCAGCTGTGGGGATATGAACAAGGAGAAAGGGGTGCAGGGGCAGGAAGTGGGTGGAGTGGCTGGGTCTATCGTGCAGGGTGGGGAAGCTCCTCAGGGTCTTTGGCCCTGGCTTAGCATCTCCTGAGATGATGGGCTTAGGATCACTTTCCTGAAAAGTCGGGAAGGTAGGACCAGGGACTACTTCATGTCTCTCTTGGATGTGCCACAGTTTCCCAACCTTGCCATGCACAAACTTGGCTCATTGACTTTCCCCCAAATTCCTTTGTCTCTGTCCTACAAATCTGTTCTTTTTCCACGCTTTCTTTCCATGATAGTTGCTGCAGCCCAAGTCCTGTAATCTCTTATTCCTCTCTCCTTTATCTCTCATCAATCCTTATATAAATCTCTCCAATCTTCCCATCTCACTTCTGATGCCACCATTGTCCTCATCCTCTCAATACTATGGTGACTTCCACTTTCTCTTCCCAATCCTCTTGTACACCTTTTCTCTTTCTTCATAATGCAACAAGAGAGCACTCTGACACGGTTCTGCAATAGTCATGTCACCTCTTGTTCCATGTTCTTCAAATGAAACCCACTGTATTAGTCTGTTCTCATGCTGCTAATAAAGACATACGTGAGGCTGAGCGTGGTGGCTCATGTCTGTAATCCCAGTACTTTGGGAGGCTGAGGCTGGCGGATCTCCTGAGATCAGGAGTTTGAGACAAGTCTGGCCAACATGGTGAAATCGTCTCTACTAAAAGTACAAAAATCAGCCAGAAGTGGTGGCAGGTGCCTGTAATCCCAGCTACTCAGGAGACTGAGGCAGGAGAATTGCTTAAACCTGGGGGTTGCAGTGAGCTGAGCTCCTGGCACTACACTCCAGCCTGGGTGACAAGAACAAGACTCCGTCCCCACCCCACCAAAAAAAGACATAACTGAGACTGTGACTTATAAAGGAAAGAGGTTTAATTGACTCACAGTTCTACGTGATCAGAGGCCTCTACAATCATGGTGGAAGGCAAAGGAGGAGTAAAGGAGGAGCAAAGTCATGTCTTACATGGTGGCAGGCAAGAGAGAGAGTATGCAGGGCAGGGGACTCTCCTTTGTAAACCACTGGGATCTTGTGAGACTCTATTCACTATCATGAGAACAACATAAGACCTGACCCCATGACTTATTTACCTCCCACCAAGTCCCTCCCATGACACGTGGGAAGTATGAGCGCTATAATTTGAGATTGGAGGGAGGACACGGCCAAACCATAGCACCCACTCTCCTTGCTTGGCCTACTTGATCTGGAGGGGATCAGCCACTGGTTGGTTCTTCCATTTTATCTTATTGCCCTGTCCCCACGTGGTCTTTATGTTCTAGCCACAGTATGCATCCCTCCCCAGGGCCTTAGCACCTGCTGCTCCTCCCCTTGAATCCCTTCCCCAGATCTTCTTACCTCTGGTTCTTTCTTATCCTTTTGGTTTCACCTCTGACGTTGCCTCCTCTGAAAGGCCTCAGATCATCCTTCGCAGGGATCACCCCGATTGTCTTGATTATGGGTCCCTGTTTATTTCCTCCACGGTTTGCCAAATGCTGTTAATGTGTTTCCTTTGGGTGGTTTCTATCCATCTCCCTTTACATCACAGCAGCATTTGGGCCAGCTTGCTCACTCACGAATGCTCCAAAGTGTCCAGCTACAGAGTATGGTGATGTAATGGTTGGCATAAAAAAAAATACTTGCTGAGTGAGTAAACGAATAAGGATTGGATGTGACTGCAGAGGTTGGTCTCTGGGCAAATGTACTCCAACTATATTAGATATCTGTTGATGCATAACAAATTTCATGACTTCACGGCCAAAACAGCAAATGTTCATTATCTCATGGTTTTGAGAGCTGGGTAAATCTGGGAGTTGCTTAGGTGGGTGGTGCTGTTCAAGATCTGTCTTTCATTAAGTTCTAGTCAAGATGTTGGCCGGGGCTGCAGTCATCTGAAGACTGGACTGGGGCTGGAGGATCTGCTTCCAATGTCACGCATTCACGTGGCTGGTGGTGGGAGGACTCAGCCTCAGCTCAAAAGAGCTGCTTGTGTGTCTTCTAGACACAGCCACCAGCTTTCCTCAGAGAGAGAGTGATCTCAAGAGAGAGCAAGGCACAGCACCTTGGCTTTACTTAGTGAGGACAGAGAGAGACCCTCTCATATTGCTTTATATTGTTTTTATACTCAGTACCTGTTTTAAGAAAAAAACAAGGAAGTAAAACCAAAGACAGGCAGCCCGGTGCCCAAAACTGTGACCTTGGCCTGTCTGGCCTAAACCCGGTAGTTAAAAATCAACTCATAACTTAGAAACCGATATTATTCATAGATTCCAGGCATTGTATAAAAAAGAACGTAGAAACTCCTTAGCCCTGTTTTGTTTCTCTCTGACCACTGGTGCATGCAGCCCCTGTCACGTACCCCCTGCTTGCTCAAATCAATCACGACGCTTTCATGTGAAATCTTTAGTGTTGTGAGCCCTTAAAAGGGACAGAAATTGTGCACTCTGGGAACTCAGATTTTAAGGTGTAGCTTGCCGATGCTCCAGCTGAATAAAGCCCTTCCTTCTACAACTCGGTGTCTGAGAGGTTTTGTCTGCAGCTCCTCCTGCTGCATTAGAAGTCATAGCCCATGGCCCATATCTATGGATCACAGAAGCCCGCCCTATACCATACGGAAGGAGACTCGTCAAGGGCGTGGGTGTCTGATCTGGGTGGCTGTTAGGCAAGGATAGTCATCTCCTCAAATTTTGCTGAACTGTACATCTATGATTTGCGTTATTTTGTTTGTATGTTATACTTCCATCAAAGAATTCTAAAACCAAAACCTGAAATTACACTCTGAAAGTTTGCTTGACTTTCTTTTGGTTATAGTTTATTGATATTTTTTCGACCTAAGGAAAAGTTTACATATATTAATCTCTCCTCCTTCCAGCTGCCTCACCAACAGCTCTGGCCTTGTAGCAGGACGAGCGGCAGACAAACTCCTGTGACACCGAGTTACAGAAGGAAGGTGTGCTCCATTCCGGCTGGGGGCATCGCCAGACTTCAGTCTCAAGAGCCGAGCTCCCCTGAATGAGCAATTCCTGTCTCGGGCGCTCACAACCTAAGGGGGTGCGTGTGAGGGGTCCGTGATCGATTGAGCAAGCAGAGGGTACGTGACTGGAGGCTGCATGCACCGGTAATTAGATCAGAACAAAACAAGATAGGGATTTTCACAGTGCATTTCTATACATTGTAATCTATAGATAACAGAACCAATCAGGTCAGGGGTCGATCTTTAACTACCAGGCCCAGGGTGCGGCACCGGGCTGTCTGCTTGTGGATTTCATTTCTCCCTTTCAGTTTTTACTTTTCTTTCTTTGAGGCAGAAATTGGGCATAAGACAACATGAGAGGTGGTCTCCCTCCTTAGCCTCAAGTGATTTGCCTGTGTCAGCCTCCGAAGTGCTGGGATTGCATGAGCCACCGTGCTCCTGTGGGAATTTCTTTCTTCGACTCTCAAGCCTGCACATGAGGACCTGACTCAGGAAGATCCACATAGAAATCCTGCCAGGAAGACTCTGGCCAGGAGGCCCTCCTCTCACCTGCAGAGTGACCACTCCACAGACATTGCCCGACGTTGATAAACTGTTTGGGTTTCAAGGCCTGCCATAGAGAAACTTAGAACACAACGCCTAAGGAGTCAACAAGCTGTACATTCAAAATCATAGAGCCATCCACTGAGGAAATTGAGTCCCTTTCTTTTGCAAAAGGAAAATAATACAAAGATAAAAGTTAAAGCCCAAAGTTACTGTCTTTCCTTGGTCTGGAATCGGAAGCATCTGCTTTATTCCTCTTCTCTCAGGGCCTCCTAAGGTCCAGAGAGGCCTGGGCCACTTCTCTATTTTCTTTTGAGAGAGAGAGATGAAAACAAGGTTATAAAATTGTGGTATATTTTCAATGAGGGAAGTTCACAGATCAATTTCTTGGTACACAAAAAGCAATAAAGTATCATTAATTGAGCTATAAAAAAGAAGATTGTGGCTGGATGCAGTGACTTACACCTATAATCCCGACAGTTTGGGAGGCTGAGGTGGGAAGATTGCTTGAGTCCAGGAGTTTGAGGTTGCAGGGAGCTATGATTGTGCCACTGAATCTGTGCATGGGCAGCAAAGCAAGACGCTGTCTGCTGCAGTGGGGGGAAAAAGGACACGTATAAATGTGTGTGGGTTCAGCACTTCTGCCAAACCAGCCCTGCAGTTTGTGAAAGGAAAATAAATCTCCAGACCCCACAACCGCCAAGTCAAAGAGAAAACCCAAGCTGGGAACTGCTTGAGAACAAACCTGCTCCCGCTCTATTGCTAAAAAGATAGCTACTAAGGTTAAGAAAAAGCTACTAATTGTCATGCGTGTCTCGTGTGAAGAGACCACCAAACAGGCTTTGTGTGAGCAATAAAGCTTTTTAATCACCTGGGGTGCAGGCAGGCTGAGTCTGAAAAGAGAGTCAGCAAAGGGAGATAAGGGTGGGGCCGTTTTATAGGATTTAGGTAGGTAAAGGAAAATTACAGTCAAAGGGGGTTGTTCTCAAGGGGCAGGAGTGGGGGAGTCAAGCAAGGTGCTCATGGGGGAGATTTTGAGCCAGATGAGCCAGGAAAAGGATTCTACAAGGTAATGTCATCACTTAAGGCAAGGACTGGCCATTTTCACTCCTTTTGTGGTGGAACGTTATCAGTTAAGGCGAGCAGGGCATTTTCACTTCTTTTGTGATTCTTCAGTTACTTCAGGGCATCTGGAAGCGATATGTGCAAGTCACAGGGGATGCGATGGCTTGGCTTGGGCTCAGAGGCCTGGCAATACCTCTCTCACAGTTTGTTCACGAGGAAATTCCTTGCGGACAAAGGACAGATGTAATTCAATGTCATCCCTTTTAATTTCTGAGATAATGAAGGTCTGATTGCTTCCTGGAAAAAGGCTAATCAGAAACTCAAAAAATGCAACTCTTTGTCTCTTATCTACCTATGAGCCGGGAAGCTCCCTTCCCACTTTGGAGTTGTTTTGCCTTTCTAGACCAACTAATGTACATCTTATATATTAGGTTGGTGCAAGTATTAAGTGCTTTGCCATTAAAAGTAATGTTGCTCAGGCTGGAGTGCATTAAAGTAATGGCAAATCAATATTTTTGCACCAACCTAATATACTGATTGATGTCTTTATGTCTCCTAAAATGTATAAAGCCAAGCTGTGTCCTGACCACCTTGGGCACATGTTGTGAGGCCCTCCTGAGGCTGTGTCATGGATGCCCCACCTTGGCAAAATCAACTTCCAAAATTAATTGAGACTTGTCTCAGGTACTCTTGGGTTTACAGGTTGTATAATTTAATTTAGGTCTGGCAATTGGTTATAGTTAGTGTTTCAAAGACTGCTTCCCCTGTTCACAAATAAGAAGCATTGAAGATTGTCAGCAAATCAAGTTCCAGCCTAGGTGAACATGTTCAGTAGGGACACTGGGTGTCTCTTCCTCTCCTAGAAGAGGTTTGACATGCAGTGCAGTGTGTTGCTTCTCAGTACAGTGGAAGCCATGGCCCGAATCAGATGTGTCCTCCCTTTCGCGCCTGGTTCCACCCTGCCCTGGGTAATTTGTCTTTAGGATGAAACTGCTCTGGTTGAAACTGCCCATTGGGTCAGATCCAGGTTGCACCTTGCCCCTGGTCCCGGCCCTTGAGTCTGGGGTGCTCTGCACTGCCCAGGAGCTTTCTCTCCTGAGCTTTCTGTAATCTCTCCCATCTCAGCCTCAGACTTGAGACAGAGCTGGACAAGGAAGCAGAGAGGGGAAGAAAGGTATGGGGCTCAGGCCCTGGGAGAGGGGACTCCACCTTGTCCTACCAGAGCCTGGTGCAGCAACAAGTGACATCTGAGAAATGGCCACCAGGGATCGGGCTGCTCGGTTACTGGCAGTCTGGCTCCTCCTGAATGTCTCAGACATGGGTGGGTGCGCTCTGGACATGGAAGTAGGGATATGGAGAGAGGAGGACAGAGGAGCACCCAGGGGCTGTCAGCGGCTGCCTCGCCAGCTGAGCGCCAGGCTCCAGGGCACAGCGCAGGTGAGCTGCGTCCTGCTGCATCCTCACACAGAAGAGGCCCTGGGTGAGAGATGCCTGTGACTGTCATTGCCACAGTTATCCAATCCGAAATGCCATCTTGATGCACCACACATACAATCAGATGCTGCTGTGTACACACATGCTTGCACGCACAGTGTTTTCCCAGTCCATGCCCTTCCTGTCTCCACGGAAACGCCTCCCATTCCCACTTCTGCAGGGAGGGAGCACTCACCCCCACAGTTCAGATTCCTGGATGGACAAGGGCTGTCTGCCTGCCACTGTCTCCTCTACAACCCTAGGGTCTGAGAGGCCCTGACCCCAGAGCATCCCTGACCCAGGCCCATCTGAGGAGAAGCTGGGACTTGGGCTTGTGTTTTCCAGGCTGTTTTGTTGTGGGCGGGCCCCAGCACCATGACAGACACCGAGGTGGGATCCCCAATGCAGTGTCAGTATGAGGAGGAATACAGGACTTTCAACAAACACTGGTGTGGACAACCACTTTTTCTACTATGCAACAAGACCATAAAGGCCGGAGAGTCAGACGAAGTGAGGAATGGCTGAGTGTCCATCAGGGACCATCCTGCAAACCTCAGCTTCACAGTGACCCTGGAGAGCTCACAGAGGAGGGGATGCCAAGGGATACGGGTGTCGGGTCAATAGACTATTGCTCTAAGAATTTCAAGATCTCGTCTCCCAAGACTTCGTCTTCCAAGACCTCGTCTTCCAGGTGGAGGTTGGTGTTCCCAGGTGAGTTCCCTATTCACTCAGCACTAGGGCCTGTCTGAGTCTAGGCTGGTTATTCTCTGTCCCTGGAAGAGAGAAATGGGAAGAAGTGTGGAGGTTGCAGGTCAGCACTTAGGACATAGTGTGTGTAATGTGCATGTGTTTACGTGTGTGCGTGTGCATGCACAGGTGTGTGTGCACGGTACAGGCATGAGGTGTATTTGGAAAGGTGGTGTGTGCAGACACAGGTGTGGTGTGGTGCATGCACAGATGTGTGGTGTGTTTGTGTGTGTGCAAATCTTTGGGCTGTGGGCGGTGTGCTGACATGCACAAAAGCACATTTGCATCTGTTGTTCAAGACTCCTCTGTGTGCCCCACTCTGAAGTGTCTGGCCTTGTGGGGTCCATCGGCCTGGCTGACATTTGGGGTTGAGTGGACTCAGGTCCCATCATTCAGGGAGGACCTCACTGACTGCCTGTCCTTAATCCCAGCCTCACTCCAGCCACTGCCATGCCCAGGGCCCAGGCTCCACAGTCACCTGGGTCATAAGCCACAGAGTAAATGTCACTCCTCCTCCTTTACGGGGTGGGGTCTGCAGACAGATCTTCTTCCACAGACTCTCACGCCCTCAGAGAGCAGGCTCGACTCTCGCACCTGGAAAGTGCTCACCTGGCTATAAAGTACGGGGATAAGGCTAGGAGGGGTCCAGGGCCCTGGGTCTGCCTGGGCGTGGCCATGGAACATGTTGACTCCAGGGGCATTTGTCCCAGCATGTCCTGAGTGATTGTGTCTGTGGAAATCAGAGCTGAACAGGAGGATGCGTGGGAGACTCAAGCGAGGTCACCAAGACTGACCTGTGATGCCCTTGCAGCCCTGACCCCAGCCTCCAGTCCCAGAGCTCCACGTGGCACCTCTGGTCCCCAGCAGCCGCTGCTCATGACAAGCTGTCCTCTCAGTCACCAAACCGCCTCCGTGCGCCTGGGGTGTGTGCTGGGTCGGAAGTAGCCTCTTGAGTATTGACCACAAGTCCCACTTCAGCACTCACGCATCTGAACTCTCTGTCTCTCTGCCCTCTGCCCTGATTCTCACTGGGGCGTGGATTTCAGCAAGAAGACAAGATGGAAAAGGAGGGTCTCGGGTGTGATGTCATTTGTGTCTAGGTCTGGGGCAGGGCACAAGAAGAAAACTCCCCAGGCCTGTGGGATTTTAACCTGCTTGGGGACTCAGCACCAAAAAGGACATGCAGATGAAGTTCTGTTCATAGTGTTAACTTCTGAGGCCAGAAGAAGAGCTGGGGTCTTAGGGCAGAGCCTCAAGGGACCCATTGAAGATTAAGGGACACAGCCTCTCTCCTGTCACCTCCAAGTATAAAGAAGATGGCAGATTTAGCTTCCAACCGCTGGTGATTGTCCATCCTGACCAGAAGCATATGTCACGGAGGGTGGAGCAGCTCGTGAGAAGGTTTTGGCTGGTTTCTGTTTCTTGCTGTGTGAGTAACACACTGGAAGCCAGAAGCTGTGGGCTGTGGGGAAGTGGCTGCATTTCCTTCCAAGGGACCCTGAACTTTGCCAGACTTCTCGGGTTGAGAGGGGAGCCACTCAGCACCATCCCAGAGCTGTCAGCACCGGCCTCAGCCCAGGCGGCTCTCTCCCTGAGCTTCCTGCACCCTGACCCTCTCCAGCCTCAGACCTGAGACGGGGCTGACAAGGCCAGAGAGCAGAAGAAAAGCAGAAGCAAAGCTCAGATCTGCTGGGAGGGAGGCTCCGAGCCTTTGTCCCCTCCTGGGGTCTTGCACAGTGGGGCAGGTGACATCCGTGTTACAGGAATGACTGCCAGGGCCTGGGCCTTGTGGCGTTTCAGCCTTGCTCCTCCTGCTTGTCCCAGGTGGAGGGCTGGCCCTGGACTCGGGAGCCTGTCCTGGGTGGGAGAGGGCAGGGCAGGTGCAGGCAGGAGTAGCGGTCACAGAGGGAGCAGGGGCAGGGAGAGGGAAGGGAGGGCAGAGGAACACCCAGGAGCGATCAGCGCCACCTCACTAGGGGACAGCGCCGGTGGGTACAGCGCGGGAGGCCTGTTCCTCTGTGCCTGAGATAGGAAGCCCTGTGGGAGGCATGCTGTGACTGGTTACAAAGTATCAACTGGCAAATTTTATCTGGAACATCACACACATAGTCACACTTGCTATTGGCCATAGCCACACACACACACACACACACACAGCCACACTCACATGCACACACACAGGCCTGCACATCCAGTGCTTCAGCCTGGCTTTCCAGTCTCCATGGAAACTTCCCACGCCCTTCCCACCTCTGCACAGAGGGAGCCTCTGACCCTCAGTCCCTGCTCCTGGGTGGACAAAGCCTGCCTGCCTGCCATTGGCTTCTCCACACCCGGTGGTCCATGACGGTCTGACACCGGGGCACCCCGGACCAGGACCCTCTGGTAAGGAGATGGGACTCTGTTTGTGTTTTTCAGGCTGTTTTCTCTGAGAGCCCCCAGCACCGTGACAGCCCCGTGGGGGATCCCTGAGCGTGCAGTGTTGCTAGCAGGAGAAACACAAGACTCTCAACAAATACTGCAGACCACCACGGGTTCTCCGATGTGACAGGGGATTTGAGACCCAAGGGCCAGCAGGAGAAATGAACGCCGAGTGTCCATCAGGGACAGTCCTGAAAACCTCAGCTTCACAGTGACCTTGGAGAACCTTACAGAGGAGGACGTAGGTACATACTGTGGGGTGGATGGCACTGGTTGCTCCAAGACCTTTATGATCCCTATGTCCAGGTTGAGGTGTCCGGGTGAGTTCCCAGGGTGAGCCCCTCCTTCCTGGGCCAGCACCAAATAGGGCTCAGGTTGAAATTGTTGGGGCAGGAATCAGGTCAGAGACGCTAAGTCACTGTGTGTGTGTGTGTGTGTGTGTGTGTGTGTGTGTGTGTGTGTGTAAGAGAGAGAGAGGTGGGGGCCAGGGGAACACAGTCAGGGCGTCTCTCCTGGAGCAGCCGACATGTCTGCCCAGTATTGAAGAAGGGGAGGGTCCGGTGACAGGGGGGCTGAGAGAGCGTTGCCTGTGAAGGAGCCAGGAGCGCACCTGTGGCCTGTCCTAATGGAAGTGCAGCTGTGGGGAAGGGTGGCCACAGAGAGGCTGGGGCCAGGATGGGAAGCTGCTGCCTCAGGGGGAGCCTTGTACAAGATACAGGGCTTGACGGTGGTGTAGACAGACTCTCTGCCGCAGGAGGCCTGCAGGAGACCTGACCTCATCAGCAGGATGGAAAATCAGACCATTGGGAGGGTAACTCAAGGCCCTGTTCAGAAAATGCCCAATTGGCCCAGAAGGGTCATAGTCCAGGTTGAGGGTGTCTGTGGTTCCCAGGTGAGCTCCTCCTTCTTAGCACCAGGCCTGCCTGAGTCTAGGGCTGGTCATTCTGTCCCTGAGGAAAGAAGTGGAACCGGAGTGTGTGAGCCTGGGGGTCAGTGACTTTGTGACACGGTGTGCCGCTGTGTGTGGATGAGTGAGAGGCGTGTCTTTGTGTGTGGGCGTTTCCATAGAGTGTGGTGTGGTTTGTGTGTGTGTGTGTGTGCACCTGCATGTGTGTGTTGGGAGGGTGGGCACCTACAAAAGCCCCTGGCTCCTGTGGCTGGAGACTCACAGTTTCTCCTGCCAGCCTCCCAGGCCTGGAACTTTCCTGGGTGGGCTCCGTGAGGCCAGCCCCTGACTCCCTGGGGTCCTTGCCATCTCCCCTGGTGGGATGACAAGGTCAAGTCCAGACCAGGCGCTCTCACTGTCCCGCCTCTGGGTCTGACTTGCTCTTCCCCATGCGGAATGGGACCCCCCGATCACTGGTTGCCTTCACTCAAGGCTGCCCCTGCCCTGGGACTGCACACGCCGCCCCTGTCTGGAGGGTCCTGAGGCCACAACCTCCCAACCCTGCCTTGGGAGCCTCATGCAGCAGCCACTGGAGGACACAGGAAGGGGCCTCAGAGCCCCGTGGGGTCTCCCATGCTCCTGGTGTGATCCCTGCCCCAGGCCGACCTGCAAAACTCTCATTTTCTGACACTCTTTACTACAGAGGGTCTGGGAATTGAATGCCTTTAGGTAGAGGGACTTGTGATGGGAAATGAGTTTGAGGCTGGTATGGACTCTGAGGGCCCCTCCCCATGGCTGCAGACCATTCCTTCCTCAAAGCCCCGCTCCTGTCTCTACGAGACACAACCCAGTGTGGCCTCAGTGTGGTTGCTTTTCCATCGCTTCTGACAATGTCCCAGGTTCCTCTTGAGCGTCTTCTTGTTCTCCATTTCCCGGGATTGGTCTTCCCAAATTCTTTGGGCTTCCCATCTAGGAGTGAGGAACTAAGAGCTACCTTGAGGGTACCGGGGCAGGAGGAAAGGGCCCCTATCCAGCTGTCTTCACCGCAGGCCACCGCCCAGGCTCCACCGGGTGCCCTCCCAGATCTTCCTGGGCATTCCTTCCCCTAAGAGGATGGTCCAATGGCTCGTGGGGTCAAAGCGCGTGGCTGCCATTTGGGGGCTGAGGACTCGGTCCCATCGCTCAGGAGGACCCTTGTTGACTTCCTGTCCTCACTTCCAGCTCCTCCCACCACTGCTGCAGCCAGTCACCTGGGTCACCCTTCGAGAATAAACATCACCCCATTCCCAGGTCACTCCTGTCCTTTCCTGGCTGGGGAGGAACTCCTGAGCCCTGTGCCTTGCCACAGACTCTCCTTCCCGCCTGGTGAGCAGGGCAGCTCTCACATCTGAAATGGCTATCCAGCTCTGCAGCACCTAGGGATGGGACAAGGAGAGGCTCAGGACCCTGGTCAGGCCTGGTGTACTGCAAGGTGTTGGACACAGGGCGTCTGTCCAGCACATCACAGACCTTGTCTGTGAAAATCGGAGTGAGAACAGGTGAGAGAAAGTGGTGGGAGAGACTCCATGTGATGTCATCAAGGACTGTTTCACCCACAGCCTCCAGGCCCCAGAGCTCCATGGGCACCTCAGGTCCTCCCACGAAGCTGCCAGTGCACACCTGGCCCAGCGTGACCAGAAAGGACAGCCCTGAACCCAGCCCACACCCTGGGCATGTGTCAGCACAGGACTCCGCCTGTGGCAGCCTCCACTGCGTGTGATGTTTAGGGACTTGGGCTCCCCTTCGCCCAGTCCCTTCTTTGCCACACCTCCCACACCTAATGTGAAGGTTCTCTGAAGTGTCGGCTCCTCTTTGGGATTGAGTCACAGCAGGAACCACACAGCCACTATCCTGCCCTCGTGGAAGTTGAGTTCTACTGCGTGAATTCACGCATTGACCAAGTCAGCACAGGAGGCTGATGTGCTTTCAACACAGCAAAGGGTGATGAATGCTGGGATGAGATGTTTGTCTTTTGGTTTGGGGAGAGCTGTGTAGGTGTTGGAGTTATATTTCACTTGACAATGGTCAGTAAAGAGGGGTTTGAGGGATTTGAGGACGTGAAGCATGGAGACCTGAAGGCTGGGGGCTGGGCACCTGGGGTCTGGAGGAAGAGGGGGTCCTGGGGCAGAGGGAGGAGCGAGGCAATGTCTCGAGGGAGCCTTGGGACCTGGCCAGGCTAGGGCAGGGGACAGATGCTCTGGGGTCCGGTGGTCCCCGTCCTCCTCTGCCTCCCTCGCAGCCCTGGCCAGAGTTTCATCCTGTTTGACAAGCCCAGTCCTCTGAGGAGCTGAGAGCTGAGCTGTCCATTCATCTTGGCCCCTTCAGCAAGCACTGCTGTAGGGCAGATTTTATTTTGAGACTCAGGATAGGCACCCAGGTACTCACTGTGAATGAAACAATATCCTGCCCCCTCCTGGAAACGCTGTGTACAGGAGAGTTGACATCCAAACAAATAACCCTTTGTGAATTCCGGGACCTCAGCAGCTGCAATCCTCCATGGGGGAACACAGAGGTAGACAGCTGTGTCCTGGACACAGACCTCCTGATCCCTGAGACCTCAAGATCCTCTCACGGTCCTGCCCTTCCTGTGTCTACAGGCCTCAGGCCGGCGCAAATCTGAGGCTGAGGGTTAGGGTCAGGATGCTGAGATGGGATGGACTGTCCAGTGGGGGTGTTTATGTGGTTGGCTGTGGTCACAGGATTGGGACACAGGTCAGGGGATGGGTGAGACACCTGGCCTCCTGGGGAGGTGACTCACTGCCCATCACCGTCTCCACAGCTCCTGTTCAGCAACGTTCGCCTCTGCTCCTGGTCCTCCTGGAGCTGCCCCTGCTCCTGAGCATGCTGGGTGCCATCCTCTGGGTGAACAGACCTCAGAGAAGCTCTAGAAGCAGTGAGCTGGCCCGTGGGCGAGAACCAGTAGCATTTGCTGTCCATCAAGGTTCTGCGCTGCGACAGAGCCCCACTGCCGGACTGGAATGACTCTCCTGACCGCCTTCCCTCCCGGCTGCTCTCCCCACATCTCCCTGAATCCTCTGTGAGCCCCTTCAGCCTCTTCCCTGTGCCCGATCCTCATGTGTCACACGTGAACCTGATGGACACGGACACCCTGAGCTGTGACTCCACGCCTCATGTGTACGCCTGGATAGCTAAGCCTCGTTGTCAGCACACATCCGAGTGCCCGTGATGCCCTCCTGCACTCTTCCTTCCTCTCTGGGAGCCTGCATTGCTTCAAATTGTTTTTACAGGGGAGAGGCAGGTCCAGGACTCCCTGCACCCCCGCCACCATAATCGCCTGCCACTCCTGGGTCCAGGAGTGCAGAATACAGGCTGCTTCCAATTACTGAGTGTGTCATCTATGATGTTTTCTAAATTTAAGAAATGATACTGTGGTAGGTTTGGGATGTATCAGGCCTACTAAGTCAGACCTAGTGAGAAATCCATTGTTCCTGGATTCCACAGGCCTTTGTCGAGGAATAGTGGACCAAGCCCCATGTTAGGCCTCTCAGAATGGGGAGTCCCTGCAGAAAAGGATCCAGGATTTCCCCCAAAGCCTGACTATTCCCTCCTTCAGGTAGACGCATCCTGGCCAGTGTCTCTAGAACCTCTGGAGAGCTGGTAGAAGATTCTCCATGAACCAGTGGCATAGCCAGGCTCACTCCTTCTCCTTCAAGGGGACCTGACCTCTCCTTCATTCCAGGGCTGTGGGTTTTAACTGGTGCAAATTTGGAAATGGACTGAGGGCTGTGACTCCTTGATGTGGTAGTTAACTGAGTCTTTGTCTAGTAGTGTAGACCATGTCTGCCTGTACAGATGAAAGAAGATGTTATCATTTGCTCATCATTTCTGTTCCAGGGTCGCCATGATATCTGGCCAACACCTGTGAGGCAGATGGTTCCCATGAGTCCTCCTGGTCAACGAGGGCCTCGCCGGAGGTTCTTACCTTTTTTCCATTCAGCAGATACTTATGGGAGCTTCTGGTGTATCAGACCATGATACACCAGTCAAGGAACTCTGTTTACATTGAGCCCATATTCCAGGTGGGGGATAGAAATGATAAACACACGCAAAAATACAATGAACAAGTTCCAGAGGTAAATGTAAAACACAGAGGTGAGAAGAGCCACGGAGTAAAATAAGAGAAGTGGGGTGACTGCTTTGCAGGAGTGGAGGGGTCCGCATGAAGCCCTCTAATAGGCGATGAGCAAGCAGGGATCAGGAGAAAGGAGGGGATGAGCGCCTGGTGGGATCCCTGGAGGAGGAGCCCTGAGGCAGAGAGAGCAGGTACACGTGTCCTGCCAGGGACATCTTAGACTCTGGATCTGGAAACAAGCAAGAAGTGAGATCCCTCTCTGATCCAATGGCTCCAGGGCCTGCAGATAGCATTCTCTGTCTCCTCCCCAGCCTGAGTCGGATATGGCACACCAGCATCAGACAATTAAGTTTTCTGAAGGCAGGTAAGACTCGAGAGAGCTGCATGCATTCATTCAACAGGTACTTGTTGACTTGCCTTTGCAGACCCTAGATGATAGCAAGTGACAGCTGTGACCAAGACAAGACACTGCCCTGGTTCTCCATGAGCTACCAGTCCAGATGAACCACATGAACACAAGAGGGAGGTGAAATGGGTCACATGAGGACCCCTAAAAGGGAGCCACCATAACCCAGGAAGGTCAAGTAACACACAGGCAAACCTGTTAGCTGGAGCCAGGCAGAGTGGGAAGTTGAGGGTCTGGACAAAGGCCCGAGTGGGGAGGGCGGCAGCACCGAGGTGAACCTGGAGCCAGGGGAGGTGGAGCCACTTGCCGGGCACTGGGAGCTGCCAGGACCTGTGTGCTTAGGCTGTCAGGTGGGTGCCATCCCAGATAGCAGGAGCCATTAAAGCTGAGCAGTCCCTCCTCAGGGCCACGTGGTGTGTGTCAGGGATCATGCTGATTCTGGGGAGAAATGGAATGAGCAGAAGGGGAGACCATGTCAGGTCCTCATGGCGGGGCTAACTACTGCTGCCGGGCTAAAGCCAGACCTTGAACACTGGGCAGGTGGGAGGTCTGGGATCGCACTGGGCTGGCAAATGGTCCCATGATGTGAGTTTGGGTCATCAGCACCAATGACCCCAGTGCATGCTGTGTCCCTGAGAGTAAATGAGGGACGACAGGGCAGGACGAGGGTACAGTCACCCCTTCATGGTGCCGGCTCCACCCAGATTCCCCTGTCACTTCACTGCTTCACGGCTGTGTGCACATACTGGTGCTATTGACTCTGATAGGAAGAAAGGAACAGAACGGCAGGAGGGTTGGGAGAGTCAAGGAATATGCTTAAGGCATAAGAATGTGGAGAAGGGGTGATGCCCTTCAGGACAAACAGAGGCAAACCTGCACCTGACTAGCCTCTTTGCCCTTTCCAGGGTAAAGACACCCTGAGCCCACTGTCAGAGAACCAGCCATGCTAAGTGGGGACAGACCTGGTCCCCGGGCTCCTGGGAAGGCCTGTCCGCCATGTCTGCTCCTGGGAGGCACGGACTACCGCAGTGGACCCAGGACAGACACTCAGTAGCCGCTGCTCAACAACCACGAATTTTACAGACTGATGTTTGCAGCCACAGGGAAGGTGCCAGTGTATCTGTGAAGAGGATGACAGGGCTCCTGCCTTTGCGAAATGCCATCTGGAGAGGAGCAGGCATTCAACAGATATCCGGGTTACTGATTTCTGCACCTCTGAAGGGTGTGCTCCTGCACACGAAGGGCTTTGGTAGAGATTCTTGTGGATTCAGGTCCTACCAGGTCCCCAAGAGTGTCCCTCAGATTGCTGCCATGGCTCTGCCCTGCCTCAGCCCACAGCCCCGAGTCTCAAGGCAATTCTTAGGGTGATAATTAAAGGGCATTGGTCTTATGTGTCTGGCTGTCCAGGTTAGTTCTTGATTTTTGTGGCCACAGTACTTTGGCACTGGGGATAGGGGCAAGGTGGAGGGCACCAGGGCCTCCCCTGCAGAGGTGACTCACTGCCTGTCACTGTGTCCCCACAAGTCCCCTGGCTCAGCAGCCTCCACATCCTGCTCCTGACCCTCCTGAGCTGCCCCTGCCCTAAACATGCTGGGGGCTGTCCTGTGGTGATAGGGCTCAGAGGGAGCCTCGGTAGGAGGCAAAGTCAGCTGGATTGTGAGAAACAGTGACTCTGATGCCCATCAATACCCCTGCTGAAGCAACATACTCCCACTTACGTATGGGAATGGCTTTCTCTGACCACAACAACCATGTTTCTATCAGAAGATTTGGAAGTTTTTTCGTGATGTATCAGACACACAAAAGAATACATGCACTTTCAACCAAGAATACTCTTTAACCCGTGTGTGCCCCCCATCCAGTTTTGGGTTACAGAACATCATTCATACTCATGAAGCCCCAAACCGCTTTCTGATCTTATGCAATTTCTTTTCTATCCTCCTCTCAGAAAACCACATCCTACATTTTATTTTATTATTATTTTTTATAAAGATGGGTCTTACTATGTTAGCCAGGCTGGATTTGAGCCCTGCTCCAGCAATGGTCCTGCCTCAGAACATTCTCTGGGGAGAGCTGGGACTACAGGCATGCACCGCAGCACCCGGCTCACATTCCGATTTTTATGTTCATCATCATCTTGTTTTAAGGGATTTGCCTTATATATGGCTGTGGATTTAAAGAGTATATTATTTAGCTTTGTTTATTTTTTGAACTTTCTGTGAATAGTATTAGCATTTTTATTTCTACAATCGATTTTATCATTCAACCTTTTTTTTTTTTTTTTTTGACGGAGTCTCCTCTTCACCCAGGTTGGAGTGCAGCGGTTAGATCTCGCTCACTGCAAACCGCGCTGCCTCCCAGGTTCAAGCGATTCTCCTGCCTCTGCCTCCTGAGTAGCTGAGACTACAGGCATGTGCCACCATATCTGGCTCATTTTTTGTATTTTTAGTAGAGATGGGTTTCACCGTCTCCGGACCTCATGATCCACCCGCCTCGGCCTCCCAAAGTGCTGGGATTACAGTGTGAGCTACAGTGCCTGGACCATTCAACACTTTATTTTGAGATCAACCATGTTGAGGTTGATGCATTGATGTGTCACTTCTTTGTACTGGTCTACATTCTGTTGTACGAACATACCATAACTCACACATCCTCTTGCTTGAACGGGTGTTTAGCTTGTTTCTTTTCTTTCTCTTTTTTATGCTCTTCTTGTTTTCTCCTCTCTCTTCCTCCATCCTTTCTCTCATCTTTTCCTTCCTCTTCCTCCTCCCTCTTCTTCTCCCTCCTCTTTCTCCTCCTCCTACTCTTTTCTGCCTCCTCTTCCTGCCTACTTCTCCTCCTCCTCCTTTTCTTCTTTCTTTCTCCTTTTCTCTTTTCTTTTCCTCCTTTTCTTCTTTTTCTTTCTCCTCCTTTTATTCCTCCTCTCCCTCCTGCTCTTCCTCTCTTCTTTTTCTCTTCCTCCTCCTTTTCTTCTTCCTTCTCCTTCTTTTTTGTTGCCGTTACTTATGGGGCTGCTATTGTGAACATATATCCTACTCTATCTCACCAAAAGTGTCTCCTAGAGAGTTCTCAGCAAATAATTGCTAGGTTTTGCTGCATGTGTGTAATCAGCTCTACTAGGCAATTGCAAATTATTTTCCAAAGTAACTACACCAACTTTTGCTCCTCATCAGCAGTGCTCCTGCTTGAATCTTAGACTTTCTAAGTTTCTTCAAGTTAATGGATACGGCAAACATATCTCATTGTTTTAATTGAATTTCTGATTAATAATATTAAACTCATTCTCATGTGTTTTTATTATTTTAATTTTCTTGAGAAAGGCCTCTTCTAATCTTCATCTACTTTCCGTTGTTTGTGTTTTTTTTTTTTTTTTTTTTTTTTTTTGAGACAGAGTCTCACTCTGTCACCCAGGCTGGAGTGCAGT